TATAGCCCCTTATGCATGTACATAACCCCTTGCGTTATGTATATAGCCCCTTATGCATGTACATAACCCCTTGCGTTATGTATATAGCCCATTATGTATGTATATGTATGTATGTCATTTCATACTCCTGTATACTGGTTTATGGATAGTGTGACAATAAAGCAACTTAATTTGAAATGCATAACAGAATGACTGATTTTGGCCATGGGTCTGTGAACCAGGCAGTCAGCTCCATCACCCAGACATTAGCTGCTCCAGGCCGTGTTTTGTTGTTGACTTTCAGTCTCTGCCTTCACCATCTGCCCCTTATCATCTTATTATGGTGGAGAGTTACTCTATCATCCACCCTGGCAGCTACATGTTTGTATAACAAACACACAGTGCCTAGTGCAAAAGGCACGCCTGCTCATTACCAAAAAACAGCCTGCTCCTCTACAGCCAATCATGTGGCTGCACCCTGAATACATAAAGCACACAGACAGGGTCAAGAGCTTCACTTACTGCTCGCCCCACCATTCCAGCGGCTAAGACACCCGATCTAAACGGTTTCCCGTGTGTGATTGTCCTGGGGGGCCGGGGCCCTGCACATTTTTGGGTTTCCCCTCGATTAACACACCTGATTCAGCTTCTTGTGCTAATTACCACATAGCTGTTGAGCTGAATCATTTGTGGTGGAGCAGGGAAAGAACTAAGCTACACAGGGCTGTGGCCCTCCAGGACTGGAGTTTGACACCCCTGGTCTACAGTGTCTGGACATTACAGATAATGGTGTGAAGATCAAAAAAAATCATAGGCCTTATCAACAACAGCAAGGCACTAACTGATTATGAGAAAGGTCAGAAGGGAACAGGCAGACTGGTTGGAGCAGAAGTGCAGAATAACAGCTCCTTACAGCAGTGGCCGCAGCGTGTAGATAATCGTCAGCACGGCTCTCGGTTGCCGTTTCTGCTTCTTCTGTCTTTGGCTCCCATCTGGCCTCAAGCTCAGACCACAATCTGAGCCCAGACATCCTGCCTGCAGCAGCCATGCAATTTGGCCGCTCTCTGCCCCGTACCCCTTTCCCATAAATTCGTTTTCTGCTGATCATCTCCTGCTCTGCCCTAAACCATCCTGTCATCTCGAGTTTGCGTTCTCCCGCAGCTCTGTGCTGCTCTATGTTCAGGTTCTGTCACTGTGACAGTTCCACCGGCAAGGGTGCGGTTTACCTGGGAGACGTCCTGCACCTCTTGCTCTTTTTGCCGCAGCACGGCCTGCAGGTGCAGGATCTCGGCCTCCATCTCAGCCTGCCTCTGCTTCAGCTCCCGGCACCTGTCCTGCGCCGTCCTCTCCGAGCGCTCCATCTCGCACAGCTCGGCCTCAAACTTATCCCGCACCCGCTTCATCCTGGTGCCGCCCAAGAGGTCAGGGGTCAGTGGTCGGAGGTCAGGTTCCGCCACACAGGCCGAGCGGAAGGCCCCGGCTGCAGCCTCACCGGTTCTCTGCCACCCTCTCGCACTCCTCCCGAGCCTCGCTGGTCTCCTCCTCCAGCCTCTGGATGGCCAGCTCGATCTCCTTATCCCTCCCCCTGAGCACTTCCTCCTTCAGCTCCCGCTCACGGCTCAGCAGCCACGTTTCCTGTCGGGAAATGGTGCCACAGTCACTCCGGGCTGCCTGATGGCCACTCGCCGCCTCTGGTGCAGGATGTACACGCCAGGCGGTCGACTCGGCTAAGGTGTCAATATTTAAGCAGGAGTGAGAGTACTGAACAGGAACCATAAAAGGCTTTAAGGATGAGGCGAGCATCACATGCCCAAACATCACCCCCCCCATCTCTCCTCTCACCTCCTTCTTCATGTAGTTCTCCTCCCAGGCCTGCTTCTCAATCTCCATCCGCTCCTTCAAGGCCTTCAGCTCCGCCTGCAGGTGCGAGGTAACACACACACACACACACACGCGCGCGCACAGTGAAGGGCCTGCATAACACCAAGTGGCATTCCGCGGGCTGGTCTCCGTCCCATAACTCCTCGACTGGGCCGTGTGACTCTCGCTCGAGGCCGTGCTTAGCTCCAACTCGCTATACAGCTGTAATCCTCCCCACACCCATTTAATTAGCTACAGTACCACACATGTTTTTAATTAACGGGACTGATACACTAAGGGAGGAAACCCCATAGGACCTTGGGACGGGGAAGGGGGTGGTGCTCTGTCTGTCTGCGCTGAAGCGCTGTTAATGTTATTTACTCTGGAGGAGAGGAGAGAGCACTGAGCTTCGGGCCAGATTGTGGACGGGGGTTAGCTGAGGAGTCACCTGATGCCGCCTCTCCTGCTCCTCGCGGGACTTATCCAGCTCCTCGCGGAGGGCCTGTCTGGCCAGGGTGCTGTTTTCCTCCAGGTGCCTCCTTAGGTCATCCAGTTCGGCGCGCTGCCTGAAGGGCAGTGACAGAGAGAAGAGCAGTTTGCTAGACTGGCTGGGGGGTGGGAGGGGCTGTGCTATATTAAGGATATACCCTCCCCGTGCTGTCAAGCCTCAAAAATAATTCACACGTCACTGGCCCCTGACACTCCTTCAAAGTTTCGAAACCCCATCCTTGCTCCCTTATTTCACCCTGCCGTAAAAATGAGGTTTTAAAAATAACAGGGTCTCTCAGCTCTGGGCCAAAGTCCGGAAACTGAATAAGCACCCCCCCCGCCCCCACCCCCACCCCCCCGCCAGCAGTATTATTCCTGACCCCTGACCTCTGGGAGTACCCCCCCCCCCACCATCACCTGGTTGCCAGCTGGGCCAGTCTCTCTTTCTCCTCTGCCACCTCCTTATAGAGTCGCCTCCTCTGCTGCTGGAGAGCCTGTTCCTCCTCCTGCAGCTGCTTCTCGAACCTGGAGCGCACAGAATCGCTTCATCAGCTTTTTCCATTTTAGAAGAAACTGACGGTGGCAAGCCACCGCCCCCCCCCCCCGCTGTTATCGCCTCAGGAAGCTAGCATGATGGACACCCCTATAGGGGTGGGGCTGTTCTTGGCAGAGGGAGTGTGTGCACGGGTGAGGAGGGTCACGGACAGGCAGTGTGAGTCTCGTAATACAAAGGGCCTTTGCCAGCCGCTGAAGGGGCCGCATTCTTATTGGGCCATGAGGAACAGAGTGATAAACAGCCAGTGTGCTGGCCCCGACGCAGTGAAACGTGGCCTCCGTCAGATCACTGCGATAAACGAGGTATGCTAAGGCTGGGCTTGGGCAGAACCGTGGCAAAGGTCCTGTTGGGATTAACCGACCACCCGACCCCCGACCCCCGGAAATCACCATGGGTGGCCAGAGTAGGTGTTTTTTTGAGGCCACTTGTGCCATAAACAGACAGCCAGCACCCCCCCCACCCACGTCAATCGGCTCGATTTTTGAGCAGTTCCGATTTGCCAGCGTCCTACACACCGCCAGTGTAAATGTGGCCATTGTTCAGCACTGACTGAGTGGGGGCCACTCCACAATCCAGCAGTTCCATTTGCACAATCTGAAAGTCTGAAAAATGTGAAACTATATTGCTTGTGTATGTTTTAAATTGTTTTAAAAAACTCAACTAAAGGGCGCTTTTCCACTGGACCAGGTACTGAACTTTCGGTACTTCAAGGTGTTGGTTTTCCACTGGCGTAAAAACTGGTACTGGTGCTAGACGACATAAGGAGTATTTTGTATTGAATTTGAAAAATGGCTCTAGTATAATATAGGGCTGGACGATGTGCAATATTAATACCAACATTGAATCCAAAACTTTTCTAACATACATGACCGATACTTAATTATTTAGGTTTTGGCAGTCTGTAAAAAGATAGCTACTATTTCGTGTTAAATCTATCTGTACAATTGCACAACAGCTATTTCCCATTTTCAATGTTTTTTTTGCAGCATTCAAGCTTAAACGCCAAAACTGTTCCTCAAAATCTTCCACCTGATGCGACGTTACGCGCATTACCATTTGCAAGAGAAGTGTAAAAACAGCAGATAAGGAAGTGACGGTATGGAAGTATTTTATGCTTCTAACAACAACTAGTAGCTGAGCGATCTGCAGTCGTTGTACAAATAAAGTTTTGAGAGGTGGAAGTAGCTTTTAGTGGAAAATCTCATTAAATAAAGTGCATGGAATTATGCGAGACAACGCAGGTAATATGAAAAAAGTAATGGGCGGTTTGCGAGTCACTAGCATTGGCTGTTTTGCACACTCGTTACAGCTTGTGATACACGAGTGGCTGCCATCGCAGCGAAGTGTAAGCGACGCTGTTACCAGGGGGAGAAAAATTGTGGGGCATTTTAAGCATTCACCACCTGGGTATACTCGCTTGGAAGATATTCAAACTGAACTGCAAATGCCTCAAAAACGCTTAAAACAAGATGTACAAACCAGGTGGAACAGTAGGGTTTGTATGTTTCTAGTAGCTAATTAAAGATTTTTTGGCATACAATTTTCTGTAATTTAAAAATATTAATATATAACGTTCACACACACACCATATATTATTATATTAAAATATTAAAGTAAAAACAGCTCTTGTATCAGTATCAGCAGTTGTGTATTGGAATCGGATTGGAAGGGAGAAAATGTGGATCGGCCCATCTCTAGTGGAAGGTTTGGATGTGATATCCTATCCCACTTTCAGTGACATTGTGGTTCCAAATTCTGAGACCATCGTTTTTGTGGTGCAGTGCTGGAGCAGTTTTTTTCTGGCATAGGGCCAGTTCTGTGTGGTGGAAATACGCGGAACCAGTTCCACATTGGGGAAAAGTCTGGCACCGGTCCTGGCACCACGTTGGTGGAAACGAGGCATAAGTAACCGACTCGTGCCTGGAATTTTTTGCCTATTGTTCCAGTAACTAAAGTAGACTCTGCAGGGGGAGTCATTTATTATGGGTGAGTTCAAGACTGCGCAAAGGTGTCCTATTCCTGTATGCGCACATGCAGCCGCATACATGGACATACACACACACACACACGCATGCAGCCACACAGACATACACAGACCTCTGCTTGGCCAGCTCGCGCTCCCTCTGGCAGCACTCGTCCCGCTCCCTCTCCAGCTGCGCCCGTAGCTCCTCGCTCTGCCGCACGTAGCGCTGGGCGGCGCGCTCATCAGCCTGCAGCAGCTCGGCCTGGTGCAGCGCCCGCAGCCTGGACAACTCCTGCTTCTGCTTGGAGAGCAGGTTCTGGATCTCAGGCTCCAGACCTTGGTGGGTAGGGAGATGAAGCCAGGGAAGAAGTGAGGGAATCAGGGGGAAATAAGACGGGGGGGCGAAAATGCGGCGTGGGGAAGAGAGACGACGAGCATGGGTGCAGCTACGGATGCCACAGAGAGTCAGCCATGGGGGCCACGAGAGGATGTCAGCAGGGCATCAGGTTTCTGGCTGGAAAGCGCACCCCCCACCCCCCAAAACACCCCCTTTGCGGAGCTGTAAGAGTCACGCTCCGGCAGCTGTACAAACAGGCAAGCAGACAGGAAGCCAAGCGCTGGGTGAGTTAGCGGCTCGGAACTGCCAGCCAGCCAAAGAATCTAGGGGAAAGTCCCCGTCGGAGGCACGACGTGTCCCATCCTCAGTACCTCTATTGTCTGGGGCGGTTTCAGCCAGAAACGCTTTTGCAGTCTAAGAAATACTGCAGAGAGACGTGCCGCTGAGAGCGGTCACACTAGAAGGTGACGGGAGGCGCAGAGGAGGCAGGGAGCTGACATGGCCCCTCGAAGGCGAGGGCCCCGCCCACCTTTCACTGTGATCTCCTTGATCTTCTTGGTCTTCTCGTCGATCCACTTCTCACGTCGAATCCTCTCTGTGGTGCCCATTAGCTCTTTCAGTTTCTTGATCTCCTGTTGGGGGTGGGGGTAGTGAGCAATTAAAGGCCTTCAGACCCTGAGCGTCTGAGTACCTGGAGGTGGACAAGACCTGTGGTGTCAGGCCGACCTCTGACCCCATGAGCAGGATGGTTAGACCCTCAGGAAGGAGCATGCAGAGGAGCCCATGAGCATGCAGACAGACTGCTCTATGGATCAGAGTCTCGATAGCTGCCACTTTGCATTTGACAGGAGAGGGCTGGGCTGTATGATTAGTTACTTTGTACAGTTTATCGTTACATTTTCACACAAAATGTAGAATGGAACAATGCCGTTTATATTAATGTGTGTTAAGATTAGGGGTGTTAAGTCATAATGGGTTATAATTGCTACGATCACACTGACACATGCGGTATTTTGATGCCTAGGTGGCAGAATAGTATGAGCAATGATTCTTAATAGAGACCTATACTGTTCCTTCCTGGCTGTAAACAACGCGGGAGCTTCAGTCACAACATTGCAAAGAATCCCAGAATTCAAAGCTACAGTCAAAACATTCGGTCTCATGGGGAAGCTGATGGAGGGGAAGGGCAAGGAAACATTGTTACTGGGTTAATTTCTTTTTTTTTTTTTTTTTAATTACCTGACTGATCAGAAGAGAAAACTATCACAATCTGCAATATTTGTTTTATTTTTTTGAACGCTAATACCGAAAGTGAAACAGTCTGCTGGTGCACACAGTGCAGTGAAACACAATCTGCTGGACCGCAGTGAAACACAGTCTGCTGGTGCACACAGCGCAGTGAAACACAGTCTGCTGGTGCACACAGCGCAGTGAAACACAGTCTGCTGGAGCGCAGTGAAACACAGTCTGCTGGAGCGCAGTGAAATACAGTCTGCTGGAGCGCAGTGAAATACAGTCTGCTGGAGCACAGTGATAACACTTCTGTGGCATAACTGTTTTATTTGACCCCCGCAAATAGAAAATAATGAGACACATATTACGTAGCACTATTCTCCTTAAAAACATGGAAATGTGGTTTCTGGTCTGTACCGCCCAGGCCTATGACAGGATATACATCTCTAACAAATGCACAAATTATAACATGGACGGGATACGATCCCCCCAAAGACTGGGGTAGGGACTATGACTACAGGAAGTGCACGCCGGTGAGATGAGCGAAGCAGATAAGAGAAAGTGATGGTGAAGGAGAGAGATGAGAAAAAGCAGGCAAGCTGTGCTGACACGGAAGTGTTACCTCACACAACGGACCCAGAATGTGCCACACCTACAGCAGGAAGAGAGAAAGAGGCAGCCAGACATCAGAGAGAAAGGAGAGGGAGGAAGAAACAGAAGCATTAACTCCAGATGCCCACACAGGCGAGCACAGCAGAGAGTGCCGGAAGGCGTGTTAAAGAAAGCCACATGCCACCCGGGAAAAACACAGAGCTGGCACCAAACCAAGTGGCGCGCCCTCTGGTGGCCACAGTGGAGACAGCAGGCTCACCAGGTCATGCTGCTCCTGCATCTGGGCGATCTTCTTGGTGTACTTCTGGTCCACCTGTTTGAGCTCAGCCACCACGGTCTCACAGCGCTCGTTTAGGGCCTTCTTATCATCAATCAGCTGGGGGGGGGGGGGGGGGGAGGCATATTCACCACTAAGGTTCCAGTTTATGCTGCCAGGTATTTTAGACAAGACCAAAATGAAAATTACGGATTTTTTCTCAAAGGCGGGAGGAGGGCAAAATCCTGAAATGGTTTTATTTATACTTTTTAATGTAAAGGTTTACATGCAGTATGGGGGCAGGATTGTATCCGTCTCCCCTACAATGATCGAGATATATCTAGACTGACTTATATCCTCACTTCCAGGACATAACCGGAACGTGCCTGATCTATGAAGGCCAGGTGTCTCTGGATGGTGGATTCGTACTGCTCCTTCTGCAGCTGGAAGTTACGCTTCAGCTCCTTCTCCGTCTCCTTGACGTGACGTGCTGTCAGCTCCCGCTGCTGGGCCTGGAAGAGAGGCACGGCCTCAGACGGGCACAGGGGACCTCGTGATGACACCATAGAGCTGTGTGCAAGCCTCATGAGATGCACTGAGAGACCCCCGCTCAACTCCATGTCGACTGCGGTCAATGGCTATTCGCATCAGCACATCACCACAGACGTGCACACGCACGGACGCGCACGGGCATGCACGCACCAGCGCGGTCTGCAGCAATGTGACGGAGCGCTTCTTCTCCTCCAGCTCCAGCTTCAACCTCATCATGTTGCTGGTGACCTCGGCCGCTGTGGCAGACGCCTGGTCCACGCCGGCCAGCTCCTCCTCCGACAGCAGCCCCTGGGGGAGTGGAGATGGTGAGGCACAGCTCCCCACCCATCCATCCAGGTTCCGGAACCTGGTGCCGGTTTAGTTCCTGGAGCTCCACCAGGAACTTTTATAGCTCCTGGGCCACTGTCATACCAAACAACAGGAACTGAGACCTTTATGTTAAATGACCACGGGAGACGTAAAAAGTTTGTAGGTTAAACTTTGATTACTGGGGGTAATCGATCGCGATCAAAAGGAGACTGTCTTCTTTACAATACGTTTACACGACCCACAACATGTTTATAATTCATTATTAAATCTGCCCAGCAGATCAATCTTTCATTTTCCACAGAATAAAAAACAATGTAACATCATCCCATGAATAAGCACTAGCAAGTTTCACCGCCGGCACTGACAATATTAGACAAAAGCATAATGGTTATCGATCAGATTTTCCAGTGTATAAATATAGGCACAAGCAAAAAATGTATTTAATTGATACATAAAAAAAAATATTCCATCTGCTCATTTTTGCTCTGCTATTTCTATCTCTTTTCCCTACACATCTGCATGACTTCCTAGTGCCAGTGCTTGTAGTCAAACGATAAGCAAAACCATCACTTCCCAGTGACTCCCCAGTGACTCCCCAGTTGTTCATGTTCGAACGAAAAACGGGTTCCAGAACTGCCTCCAAGGAGCTACAACTGGGCCAAGTTCCTGCAGTGAAAACGACAAAAGTTCCTGGTTCCAGAAAAAAGTTATGGTTTCTGAAAGAAGTTCCTGAGGTGTGAAACTGTCTGTAGTTTCCCTTTGATAATTGAAGCTTGAAATATATTTCCCACAATGTATTTCTCAGAAGTTTACAATCTGCGCTGCTGGATTTCCTGCCAATCCACAAGTAATAATTGTCGCTAATTGTTGCCATATCAGATTAATTGAATACTTGTATTTGCCTGAAGTTATCATCTTAAAACGTTATCTAATGTTAATCAAGAAATCCGTTCAAAATGGTTTAAACGATTAGCCTTAGGGCATTACCTACTGTCCCAAGAGCCAAAATGGTAGCCTAAGGGAAGGTAAAAGGAAACCAAAAGGAAGAGGACTGTGACCTTGTAACCTGTGCCCCCCTCTGCCCCACAGTCTCACCTCTCTGTGGGAGCCCGAGGTGACAGAGCGAGGGCGCTCCTGCTCCGATTTCTCCATCTCATCCAGGAAGTTCATGATGCTCTGGAGCTTGGCCTCGGAGAGCAGGGCACCCCCATCTGGCAGGACAGACACCTGACTCAGCTGACCATGGCGCTCCAGGTTATCCGCTGTCAGAGAGATGGGGTCTCTTTCCTAGGCCGGAGGGAGACAGATAAAGCAAGCCTTACCATGCATGTTTGTGTATCTCGAACCATGAAGAGCACATGAAACTCATCGACGACAGAGAACAGCCCTCTGGCCCCAGGAAAGCCACCCTGTAAACTCCTCACCACCATCTGGTGCCCCACTCCGTATACATGTGATAACTCATAAACACCGTAGACCATTCAGATCGAAGCGGAAAGGGGGACTGACACAACACAAGCTGGAATGGAGAGCCCACTCACCTGGTCAATCCAGGCGTACTTGTCCTTCTTGTAGCTTTTGGGCTCCATTGGGTCCTCCTCCAGTAGCTTCAGGGTGTCCAGCAGGTCATTCAGTGTGGTCTTGGACTGCGTTCTACTCGACGGTGCAACCTGCTGCTGGTCCTCCATACTAACGGTCCTTTGTAGGAGTTCCTGAGGGCAGAATTTCAGGATGGACTCATACCAGAACTGTTACTGTTCGAGCAAATCAGAAACCATGGCTGACAGGGGAAGTGCACAGGCTCCTGAGAGCACGGGACACAGCCTTCAGGGGCTAGTTACAGCACGAGCTAACCTGTCCCGTGAAATCAAGATGGCAAAACAGCAATATAGCAATAAAATATCTGGATACTTCAGCAACGCTAGAGACGCATGGAGCCTCTGACGGGGCATTCAAACCCTCACGGACTACAAACCACCTCCCCAGACTTGTGATAATGACATCTCTTTGCTGAACAGTCTGAATGACTTCTTCTGTCGCTTTGAAAAACAGAACAGCACACCGGCACAGAGACCACCCGTCCCCAGGGAGCGCAGGCTGTGTGTCTGTCTACGGCCAGCGTGTGGAAGACTCTCTCCAGAGTAAACCCAGGCAAGGCAAGTGGACCGGATAACATACTAAAGGACTGTGCAGAGGAGCTCAAGGATGTCCTCACGGACATCTTTAATATCTCCCTGAGCCAAGCAACTGTTCCTACGTGTTTCAAAGCCTCCACAATAATACCGATTCCGAAGAAGCCCCACCCATCCAGGTATGATGATTATCATGAAGTGCTTTGAGCGACTTGTCATGAAAAACATCAAGTCCATCCTCCCCTCCTCCCACGATCCGATGCAGTTCGCATACAGGTCAAACAGGTCCAGAGATGATGCCATCTCTGCTGCTTTATATCCAGCCCTCACACACCTCGACTCAGAGAACTCATATGTACGAATGCTGTTCCTCGACTTCAGTTCAGCATTCAATACTATCATATCCCAGCAGCTTACTCACAAACTTGGACAATTGGGACTCAAAACATCCGTCTGTAACTGGGTGTTGGACTTCCTAACAGGGAGGACACATAAAGTATGGGTCGGCAGCAACACCTCCAGGACCAGGATGCTCAGCACAGGGGTTCCACAGGGGTGTGTGCTAAGCCCACTACTCTTTACACTACTGACACACGACTGTGTGCCAACCTACAGCACAAACCAGTTTGTCAAGTACGCAGACGACTCAACTGTAGTGGGCCTCATAAACAACAACGAGGAAAC